AGACCATGCACGAAGGTTTACCGCGTACAATGTCAACGGCTTCAAGTTCTGTACGGTTGCACGTGATCAGGGATTGCTCACACAAAACTCTGGAGTTTGCGGGACATTCGGAACGAGATGTTATGCTAGCAGTAGTGATGGCGATATGCGCTTTGGAGGCGTCACTTACTATGGAAAGCTAATTGACATTATTGAGTTGACTTACCAGCTTTTCACCGTGACACTGTTCAAATGCTCCTGGGCAAATACGACAACTTCACGGGGACTCGCTACTGACCATTTGGGCATCACCTCAGTCAATTTCTCAAGACTTATTCATACGGGGGCATCTGAAGATGATGAGCCATATATCCTTGCTTCTGAGGCACACCAAATTTACTATGTCGAGGACGAGAAACATAAAGACTGGAATATGGTCGTTCACCTCAAGCCACGGGATCTTTACGATATGGGTGATGGTGACATTATTTACGACAGTGAACCCTTCCAACCCTCGAATTTTGAAGACTTCTTTCCTCAAGGAGATGATAATTTGCCACTTATCAGGTACACGTCTTTTCTTAAATTATTTAAATAATTAACTACTAATTACTAATTTTTTCCAAATACAACATAAATTTAACAAATTTTTTTAAAATATGTCCTTTCAGGCCGGATGATGATGGAGAGTAGCAGCATCCAAAATAAATTATTTAACAAATTTTTCGTCCATAAATACATATGTATAATTAAAATTCGTAAAATTTTTTTAAAAATAAAAAATTTTCATTTGTAGCGGTTCATAACCGCTACAAATTTTTTCACGAATTGTAATTTGTAGCGGTTATTAACCGCTACAAATTACAATTTTCACAAAATTGTAATTTGTAGCGGTTAATAACCGCTACAAATTACAATTTCGTGAAAAATTTGTAGCGGTTATGAACCGCTACAAAATACATACCTGTAAATTAAAATTCGTTCAGATTTAAAAATAAAAAATACTAAATTTCTAGCGGTTAATAACCGCTACATATAAACCGCTACTAACTACTAGCGCTTTTATATACGCTAGAAAATGAATAACCTACAAAAAGTTATAAAACGCTACAAAAACACCGCTACAATGTGTCGCTGATCTCTATAAATACCATATCTTCTCTACATTCATTTACTCCATCTCTTTTCCTTCCTCTCCTATTCTTCTTCATAATTCTCTCTTTTTTTCTTACTATCTCATATTGTGGTTTTTTTCTCTTTACTCTATGGTAAGTGAATTTTATTTTATAATTCATTGTATCTTTTATTTGTTTTTATTTAAAATTTACTAACATATTTATTTCTCCTTTCCTTTCATTTTCTCCTTTCAGATTTTTCTTCTCCACATTTGTCATGCATGCCTCCTCCACTGATTCAAATACTCATCAACTTAATACTATAGGTTCAATATTCCAAAATATATCATCTTCAATTCAACTATCTTATTAAATATTCAATTAAATTATCTTATTAGATTAAATTCACTTCTTTTAACACATTCATAATGTAATTACATATTTTTTATTACAAATTTGAATATATAAAATGTAACATATAACTAATTATACAAATTAACAAAAATTCTTCAAAATAATTTATTTAATGGTTTTTAAAATTATAATATGAAAAACCATAAATTTTTTTTTCTGGCACGGTAAACATTTCTAGCGGTTCAAACCGCTAGAAATATTTCGTCAAATTTAAATTTCGCGCCAAACTTTCTAGCGGTTAAAACCGCTAGAAAAGTTTCCCGCCATTCTAAAATTCAAATTGGTGTGAAAATTTAATTTCCCAAACATTTCTAGCGGTTCTATAACCGCTAGTAATTTTCGCGCGCTACTGAAATTATTTAATTCCCGTTTAGCAGGTTTCTATAGCGGTTATAAACCGCTAGAAATTTTTCCGGGGAAGTTTCTAGCGGTTTTATAACCGCTAGGAATGTGTCTCCTTCAGATATTTTCTAGCGGTTCGGAACCGCTAGAAATTTTCTATCGTTTGACCATGATGTGTAGCGGTTGCGATAACCGCTAGAATTTTTTTCTAACCCTGTTTTTTCTAGCGGTTCCTTAACCGCTACAAATGTTATTTGTTGCGGTTAAAAACCGCTAGAAATGTAACACCATAACCGCTAGAATTAACATATTTTTTTGTAGTGAAAGGTATTTTATACTCCAACATTTGTGGCTAAGTAGGAATCTAGCTTTACATGAAGGAAAATCAAGCACCAACTTCAATTTTACAAGAAATAAAGGGTTTCATCGCTTTTTCAGACATTGCTTGTTCATGGAATGCTCTCACAGGGATGTTGATATCCATAATCAAAGTATTACTAAAGCAGTAGTCTCGAGTATCAAAATGGTGACAATTATTCTCTAAAAAAAAAAAAAAGCAAGAATAGGGACTTGCATTGCAATATTACAGTCTCCTTACATAGAGGGATATAGCATCATTCCTCCTCTAGAAAGAGAGACACTAGTAGGACTTGTGTTCTGTAGCCAGTGTCTCAGAGCAATTCTTCTTTGGATAAAAGTTATGCACGTATCATCTGTTGGAGTTAAAGTGTTATAGTAATAATTTTACTTATTTATTGGAACAATGTGTGTGTTTTTTTGCTTATGGTGCAACTTGTTTGATTAGCTTACAAGTCAAATCTTCTATTGCACATTATTGCAGTTAATATCATCTTTAATCCATGAAATTTCAGCTTAATCATTTTAATTTTGGTTCTGAAATTTGAAACTAATGGTTTTGGTCTTTAAAACATTGTCTATTTTAAGAACAAAAAATCTTTAGGCAAACCAAAATGAAATCAAATTTTAGAAACTAAAACTACTGATTTCAAATTTAGAAATCAAAATCAAAATGAGATCAAATTTTAGGGACTAAAGATAATATTAACCATTATTATGTTAGCAAAAACCTACGTCCAAAAGTTGTAATCAATCTAATACGATAAAGTATTAAAGAAAATCGGGATATTTGATGGCAAAAAGAATAAAAATCGGATACTTTGATTTTCTGTCTCAATGCAAATTGAGGATGGTTGTGGGAAATAAAATATTACTACAATAAAAGTAGAATATGCTTTTCCCCAAAAAAAAAAAAAGGATAGGCAGATTTATTTTTTATAAAGAATACATATAGAGACCTCTTTTAAAAATTATACTATCTCCAGTTCTAATTATAAGAGCTAGTTGACTAATTTGAGGAAATTAAGGAAAGAAGCTAAGTTAGTTATTTATAATAAATAGGTGTTGTCTTTTCTAAAATATCCTTGCTAATCAAGTGTATTAGTTAGAACTACCATTATTAGAAGAACTACATTGGGAAAAAATATATAAATATGAGAGACAAAGTAGATTATGGTCTTATATTTAGGACCAAAATAAAAATCAAATAAGGTCTTATATTAAGGACTGGAGGTAGTATTACTCGAACATCTCTTCTATTATTAAAATTATCTTTCCTGCGTAGGGATTTTTAAAGTGGCTGTTTCGTGATAGCAAAAGATTCTGAGAAGGAAGGACTTTCCATAAATATTCCAAGGAAAGAAGTAGCTATATATAGGAGGAAATGCAATGATCCAATGGGAAATTTCTAATTTTGAAGAAAAATATTTAAAATAAGTTGAAGAGCATGATGGTCTTTTTGAAAAAATAATTCGATTTTTGTATGATTTGACTGTTAATTAACTATCTATTGGTCTTCAAAACAATAACTCTAGATACTTTATAGTCATCAATATTGGTTCACAGAGGTCTTTTTAGTGAAATTTTACCTAAAATAAATGCTATCATTCCATCTATTAGCTTATTAAATGACTCTCGCAAGACAGGTATACGGCTAATTATATTCATTGTGGTGCGGAGAATCCATCAATGGACATATTTAATAATATCTTGTCAAATACCTGTCTTCTATTTAAGATTCAAGAAACAAGACATTATCCCCATTGGAATTTGGATTTTTCAGGTTTAATTTGAACAGTATGAATTTAACTTTTTAATTTATTTTTAAAAAATTATTTTAATGCGTACAAAATCTAAAATAATATAGATAATGTAATCTTATTAATAAATTGTTAGTTGAGATGGTAGACAGTCTCACTCCCATAAAAAGAAGAACAAAGTTTAAATCCTCATAAACACATTTGTTGAGACGACTTTAATCTTAGGGGGTGTTTGGAAGCACTTTTCCGCAGAACAAGGCAAATTCCTCCATATATTTACTCCATACACCGTAAAAGCACCTTTAAAACCATGGTTTTAATCCATCTAATTAATTAGTCCCCAGGTTATTAGCACCAAAACTTTCTCCTCAAGGAAAATGCTCATCAATGCTATATATATGTGTAAGTCACCAAAGCGACCATCTCATTGTTTCCCCCCAAAAATTTTCCAAAAGATCCCGTCTTAATATGTACTGCACGCAACTTCGCTCTTGATCACATGTGGACTAAAAACCATTACTAATATTGTTGATATTACACGAAAACTTCTTCTTCTTCTTTTTTAATAGGAGGACAAATAATAGCGATGTATAAATAGTGATGATAGAGTAATGAATTGTTTGGGTGGGGCAATATAAAGAGAAGCACGACAGAAAAATGAGGCCAGAAGTAGTGGAAGTAATCTCTGCACAAATCGTGAAACCTTCGTCTCCTACACCTCAACATCTTCGTCGCTATAATCTCTCCTTCCTCGACCAGATCACTCCCCAAGTCAACAATTCTATGGTCTACTTCTTCGATGCTGCTGCACAAAAATTCGACATCATCGACATCTCCGACCGCCTCAAGAGATCGCTATCTCAAGTCTTAACTCAGTATTACCCACTCGCAGGAAGACTCATGGCCAAGAACTTAACCCGTAGAGTGCAACGACGAGGGTGTCCCATACACAGAAGCCAGAGTCCGGTGCCGCCTCAGCCACGTCATCGACGACCCTTCTCCGGCCGACGTTGGCGAACTACTTCCGTTTAAAATGGATGAAGCCGTTGACACAGTCCTAGGTGTTCAGTTTAATGTCTTTGAATGTGGCGGAATGGCCATTGGTATATGCATCTCCCACAAGATCGCCGATGCACTGTCTTACTTCCAGTTCGTGAAGAGCTGGGCCACCGTGACACGCGGCGGCAACCCGGAACACATCACGACCCACTTCGAATCATCCGCACTCTTCCCGCCAAAACACATGCCGGGATACGACCCGGATTGTCTCGTCCCGAAGGAAAAGATCGTGTGCAACAGATTCGTATTTGAAGCATCTGCAGTAGAATCTCTGAGATCAAAATACTCGGAGAAGGTGGCGAAGAACATTCTGGAAGGCCAGAAACCACCTTCAAGAGTTGAAGTATTGTCAACTTTCATATGGACGAGGTTTCTTGAAGCCACTAAGGGGGAGAAGAAGAAGAAGAAGGAAGCAAAAAGAAAAGATTCAGTTGGGTGCATGGGCAGCAAATCTACGACCAAGAATGGATCCTCCATTACCAGAATATGCGTTCGGCAACTATTACTGGCCGATGAGAACGTTTCCAACGTTAGACGAGAAGGAGAATGTCATGATATGGGAAGGAAGTTAAGAGAAGAGTTAAATAAGATGGATAAGGGTTTTATTGCGAAGCTTCGAGAATGTGAACAGTGGAATCCTCAACAGAAGAAAGAAGAGATGGTTAGATCAACTGGTGGTGGGGAAGAAGGAGAGATTGCCGTTGCTTTGCTTTCTCTTCATTGTGTTGGTTTCCGGTATACGAGGTTGATTTTGGTTGGGGGAATCCGACGTGGGTGGGACCGCCAACGTGGAAATTTAAGAATGTGGTTACCTTCAAAGACACTAAGTCAAGCGGTGGCATTGAAGCTTATGTTAGCCTCACGGAGGAGGACATGGCTAAATTTGAACACGATGAGCAACTTCTCGCACATGTTTCTACTGCGGGGTTAAAATGATGTTTTACTACTTGCTCTGGATTTATCGTATGGCTTGGTTGTTTATTTTAGGGTTTACTGTACTATAGTCAATTGTCCACTTTCATTTGTCAACTATATAATAAGTTTTCTTGATGATGGAAGTCATAATCGGCTTTACTTTGTTTGGTACTAAGGAGTCAAAAGTCTAATCTCCCAAGAAAGTGTTATAAAATGTTTACTTGTTAATTTGAATCAATAATGTAATTTTGATTAGGAACTTGTTGGTAGAATGATTAGGTTACAAGAGTTTTTTTTTTTGTACTACACACAGGTATTTTCCGGTTAAAAATAATCCTATTCGAAATACTGTTGAGCACAAAATGTGAACATTTTTCTTAACAAGGATTTGAACTTTAGTTCGCTATTCTGTTAGACCCAATCCTTGTTGGTAACTTACGAGAGTTTTTTTCTTTTTTTGGGCTAGGGTAGCTTACAAGAGTTAATAAATTTGTCAAATACTACTCAAATCAACTAAATTATTTACTATGCTCTCTAATATGATAAAGCATTTTTAAACGGATGTTAGCTTCATCATCTAACTTCTGATACTTGCTAGCTATTCTAGTTTGATTTGAAAACACATGAATTCTTTTATTTAGAAGATACACTAACAACTTAAAATTAAACCAAGAGATCATTGGTAGCTTGCACGCATTGTTTAAGCTCAATTTTCTTGTTTATAAAAAGTTTTCGATTGGTTTTATTCATAAAGAAAAAATTCAAAAGTTTAACCTTATAAGCTTAAACAAAGTAATTTAAAACGTTTACCGTAACAATTAGTAAATTTTCTGTCAGCGCATAACTTCTCGTTAGATTGATTATTAGTTCACAAAAGTCAGGAGTTACTTGTGCCCCTCACGCACGCTTCGTAAGTGGCTAGCTATGACAAGTTATAACTTGTAAATGAAGGAGATATATATGTGTGTGTGTGTGTGTGTGTGTGTGTGTGTGTGTGTGTGTTGTGTGTATATATTAAAAATGAATGAGCAAGAGCCCGGATTTTAATTTTATATTATACACACACAAATATGTTGTACTCTTCGTGTCATAAATGATGTAGCAACTAGTAAAGGGTGAATTTTACTACCACCTCTGGTGCTTAATACTACCTCTAGTTCTTAATATAAGAGCTAATTAACTAATTTAAGTACGTAGATTAAAAAAATTTATTATATTAGTTATTTATAATAAATATATGTTCTCTTTCTTAAATATCCTTACTAATATGTGTATTAGCTAAACTACTATTTGATGGAACGTTTAACATGTGCAACTACTGCAAGGACTACTTTGACAAAAAATAAATAAATATGAAAGACAAAATAGAATAGAGTCTTGTATTTAGGACCAAATTAAAAGTCAAACTAGCTCTTATATTAATGACTGAAGATAGTATAACGTAAGAGCTAGTTGACCAATTTGAGTAAATTAAAAAAATTAGTTAAGTTAGTTATTTGTAATAAATAAGTATTGTCTTTTCAAAAATTATTACTAATCAAATGTATTAATTAGAATTATCATTACTACAACAACTATATTAAAAAAAAAGGGATAAATATAAGAAACGAAATAGCTTGGATCTTATTTAGAATCAAAACAGAAGTCAAATTAGTTTTTACATTAAGGACCAGAGATATTATTAAATGTAAGAATTAATATATTTTATCTCTTGTATTTATTTTTTCTTTCAAACTAATTTATCAAACTCATAAATTGATATTCCCTCCGGTTTATAATATAAAAAGTTGATTATAAAAAATTTTGGTCTAAAATATAAAAAGGTTGACAGGAATACAGGATAATTAATGATAGTTTTTTTACTTTTAACCTTTGTTACAAGAAGGAGAGAGAATTTTAAATGTAAGAGAAATGAGAGTAAATCAAAAAGTAAAATAGGTAATTTTTATCAATTTGAAACAAATTTAATAACTTAACATTTAAAAATATCAAATCCTACCTACGCTACCTACGCCACTTTCTAAAACGAATCCTCCCGTGGGAGCTCCAACACAGGTGACGGCTATGGCTTGATGACTTGCTGCCGCCGGGATCTTTCTGTTTGAACTTTAAAATTTCAATTTAGGTGTTGCACTTTTCTGAAATCATGTATGTGGGGGTTCCAATTCGAGCATTTCATATTTTCAAAGTTTTTTATTAGCCATTTTCCCAATTGTTAAGATCTAGAAAAATTGAGAAAAAAATATGAGACGTTATTTTGCATATTTGTAAGATTTACGAAGAGTTTTAAATCCTAAATCCTCAAAAGTGGTCTAAATTAAGGAGTATTCATCACCGAACTCAAAATAGGTTTGGACTAAACATAGGCCCAAACTGCACTGCCCGTGACCAAAGAGATTAGGTTCAGATTGCCAATCGATAATGGGCCAATGGGATAGCAAAAGCAAGCTTATGAATAAGCTATTTTATGGACTAAAGGACCAAATGGATGGAGTCTAGTAAAAAAAAAAAAAAAAGGAGTGAGTTTTTCATAATTTGAAAAATTAATATTCGAATTTCTATTAAAAATTATGTTCACATTTAGTACTTAACACTCAAACAAGATTGCCTTATAATTTTTTTTTTATTTTTTAGAAGTTTTCCTTTTTAGTACTATTCCATCCCCTCTATTTCCTTTAGTAACTTTTTTTTTCTCCATCCAAACATAGTTTAGATTTCACCTGGAGTAAGCCTTCTAGTCATCTCTCCTTCCCTTCTTTCTTCATTTGCAGCGTTCTTGAGAATATGATAAGGTATATAAATACACACACACACATATATGCGCATTATTTGCAAGTATATTGTTGATATTCTTAAACAAGTATTAACAAGAACAAGGCAAAAATCATTCTAGAACAATTATATCATGATACTGGGCATCATCCGTTATCGTTCCAATGACATATACACATGCATCAACAAGACGGCCGGCAGAATATTATGTTGTGTTGCTTCAATTAATTATTGGGATTGTTAATAACACCAAAATTGTATTAACAAAAGTGATCGACCTAGACTTTATATATAAATTAGTAATATAAACATAAAGGAATATCCTAAATAAGAGACGCCAGTAAGAAGAGCACAAAACTGTCTGTTTCGGCCAGCAAAGAGAATTAAGAAAACAGCTAGACAGAAAAAACAAAACAGCTAGCTTATACTATAGGATTAATTCGTTAATAACTTGTTGCCAATGGATATCGATCTACCAGGATACATACCTGATCTAACTCGAATTATTTACAAATATTTCAATGATTTAAATTTTATTACCTTACACTTAATATAATAGCTAGTTGGAGATTCCGTTTTGTCCTAAATATAAGATTTCATCCACTTTATCTTCAATATTTATCCTAATGACAGACGATTGCATATATTAAGAAGTTTATATCAAAAGATATTTTCAATACACATAATTAGGATAAGGTATTTTAAGTAAGACAATATCTATTTTTTACAAATAACTAATTTAACTAATTTTTAATATTTATAAATTAGTTATCTAACTCTTATATTAATCACAAAATGCAGTATTAAATTTTGTTTAATTATCATTGTCTCTTTCTCTAGTTATATCACAATTTTTTAGTTTTAAAAATGTGAGTCATCTGCGTTTAAACGCTTACCGGTCCCAAGATGCAAGTTCTAGCGTGTCTTAATATAAATAGATACATGCACTAATGATAACCAGAAGCACTGAGAAAATGAAGATAGAAGTTGAAATAATCTCTAAGGAAATCGTAAAAATCGTAAAGCCTTGCTCTCCTACACCTCACACCTCATCTTCGTCATTACCATCTCTCCTTCCTCGATCAGTTATGTCCGGAAGTCAACAATTCATGGGTCTATTTCTACGATACTCGCACTTCAAACCTAGGATGCATCGACGACGATGCTTCCGACCACCTCAAGAAATCATTATCTAAAGTCTTATCCGACTACTACTACCCACTCGCCGAAAACTCATAGATAACAGTTTCGTAGACTGCAACGACGACGGCGTCCCTTACATAGAAACCAGAGTCAGGTGTCGCCTCAACCACGTCATCGAGAATCCCTCTCCGGCCGTCGTCAGCAAACTGCTTCCCTATGAAATGGATGAAGCCGTCGACACACTT